AAATACCTTTTTGGCTTATGTATTTTTTACACGCAAATACTTACACCTACAAAAATTGTAAACCTACGAAATATATTCATTTTTGAATTATGGCAATTTGGTATAATTATTATTATATGGCTTTCTATGACAAGTTCGTACAACTTCGTGTATAACATCCAGTCATTTTTTAAAAATATCAATTACTATACTGTCATTTATAACATCTTTGCCTAAAAATGGCGGCACCAATCAAAATCGGGAACGAGATATCGTGAATCTGATTAGAGGGTCTCTAATGTCCACTGTACATATTAAAACTTATTTTGTAAATATCTCGTTAACTATTAGGTTTAGGACGTATGAAGGTCAACACATTTGTACTCGAAATTGAATAATACTCTATTGATCTATGGTATAAAAAATAATTGTTAAAGGAAATGAAGGTGACCCTGAAATCTTTGAAATGCCTTCGTCCACAAAAAAAGCACGTACCTTATAAGGTGTGCCCCTTGATGTCATTTAAGTTCCACGTTTAAAAATTTTCATAAAATTACCGTTAAGTGATTATTCGAGGTGATCCAGTTAGCTGAGAACCCTGCGTAGTGGCAGAAAAGACCGAAATATGGGTGAAATAGATCCATTACGTTATTAGAAGGTGTTCGTTACTCTGTAACAGTGTAAAGAAAGTAATTGGCTGAAGACTGTTGTACGCCGTATAGCGTACTATACACGGTGTAAATAATCTATTTAAGGTTTCTGAAAGAAGATAAGAAACGAAATTATTTACTTACAATTAGAGCATGTGGCAATGTACTTTATCTTATCTCACTATCATCATTCGCACATAAGATTTGTAGAATTCATGGGAATGATTGAAATGATCCTATTGCACATTGACTTCAGAACTTTTTAAAATATTAAAAGTAAAATGCAATTATAACAAAATATTTTTACTTTAAAAAAACACAGGTTTGTTCACATAAAATCATCGTATGTATTTACAAATAATTATATAGGCCAACATATTTTTCATATTTCAACAGAGCAACATAATTTCTAAAAATGTTTAAAAACGTTAAAAATTATTTTTTGACTTATGAATTTCTTTTTCTGTACAAATTAAATCATTCGATTGAGATTTGTACAGAACTACCAAAAAGTGTATGATCACGCGTCATCTAAAATAAAAGTAAGATTAGTGGAAAGAAGGTGATAGAGTCCAAAAAAGTTTTTGAAATTTACTTTGTTAAAAGCTCTAGGATATTTACAGAAAAACAGATACTATGGTCACTTGGTTTCGATCCTTTCATAAGGTTTCAAACTAATTTTTAATTTTATACTTTGAAGTTCCAAAAATATCAAACTTTGCAATGCATTATTAAATTATGGTTAATTTTTATTTAACTACGAATTAATGCTCATTACAAGAGTAAATGTAAAATATACCCTTCTATGTTAAATCGTATCTACACTTTTCTTTTCATTGATCATTAAGAAACAGTTAGAATTCATGAGACACCGCATAGTTCAGTTTCTTCAAAAAAAAAGGAACACGAAAGCGTCGACTTAATCTGGGTGGCTTCTGTCGTTCGTTTTACGTCTCCTCTTCTACCTCGTCTAATAATTAATCAAGACCAAGGAAACAAAAAGAAACACGAGAACGCTTCACTCTCCTTTGATCACTGGAGCAACGAGTTCTCGAGAAGTTCTCGAGTCGTAAGATTTAGTTAAACTAAAAGAAATTATTCCGGTATGTTCGTGACATGTATAGACTAATGAAGTTTGTGCAAAAAGTTCGGGGCATCCTAATTTAAATAGTACAGCTTCCGTCAACATTAATTTTTCCCCTGCAAGAACTTATACGTAGAGTATACTGAGAATAGCATCCAATGGTTTCGATTCCATTGCTAGTTTATGAATAAATTTGCAATAATTACACTGTGTACGTTTATGCATTCACGGCATCTTCGAATTCGTAATTTGTAATAAATAATAATTTTCCTGAAGTTTAATATCATTTACGTGTTATTAATATATGTATGATACTAAAACCCTTATCGCAGGAAATAAAATTTTTCGACTTTTGATTTTCATACAATAATGTCGAAAATTGTAAATTTGCGTAAACATACGTAGTTTAGCAATAATATTCAGTAAAATAAACATACGTTATCACGAAACATTAAACATTATAGCGAAAAATTATTATGATCAAAGAGAATAAACTATGGTAGTAAAAATTATTCTTGTACTGGATATGAAAATGTATTCGTTACTAGTAGTAACAGAAGTAGAACGATAGAGTTACCTGTATTTATGTAACATGTTGCTGTAAATATATATATGTTTATTTATCAGCAAATGAGAAGGAAGTGGTCAATTATTTCTAGACCTTGAAGAAAGTTGCTGATCACTGTTATATTTATTTCTTTTGTTGAAGAAGTTAGAAACGTTTTCATAATACATATTCGTAAATTTACTTACACTGTCTTTTGCATTTCTGACATTTCAATTAATATTATATTGTTCTACGTATAACAAACAGATAGATATATGCTTCATTTTGTTAATATTTCGTTAGTGTTGCGAATAAAGATTGCCAAGTAAAATAAACGTTACAAGAAGTGGGTGGAGTGTAGCAGCCCACTTCGCAAAAGTGCCGATCGGGAACGGAATTGAGCACACGTGGTCATGAATAGCGAGGATGTAAGGTTAGGTTTGAACTTTCGTACGCACTTACATAACGGTCACTTTATTTCCCTTTACGGTTCGTCCGATTAACAAAACAGTGGCCTCGTGAAGGCTTAGTACTAGCCTGTGGAGGTTATAACAGTATACGCGGCGCGTGCACACGTGTTTCTTTCGCGCCAGCACAAACGAGAAAGAAAGTGTACGAGTGTGGCTTGCTCGCCAACACCGCGAAAAGAAAAGAAAACGGGTTAATACTTGCTCGCCAGCACAAACGAGAAGTAACCCCGAACATGCGTGGCCAACTCGCCAGCACAAACGAGTAGCTAAAGCACGCGTGGCTTATTCGACGGCACGACCGAGGAGCAGACACACGTCCGTCCAGTTCGATAGCCCGTACGAGGAGAAGGAAGTGTGGTATAACTTGCTCGCCAGCACAAACGAGTAGCTAAAGCACGCGTGGCTTATTCGACGGCACGACCGAGGAGCAGACACACGTCCGTCCAGTTCGATAGCCCGTACGAGAAGAAGGAAGTTCGCACAATTCGGCAAAAGCATGGCGGTTGGGGAGCGGAAGACGGTGCGCGACACCACGCGCGAATCCATTACACCTGTCAGCCATCGACAGTTAGCCGATTAGGCTTGTTTCGCATAGATGGTGTGACACGCGTCAGCACGCGCTACGACGCGATCCGCTCGCGCCGTGGAACGGGAACCGTCATCCTCTCCCCCGTCGAAACTTCTACAGAATCCCGAACAGTTAGACTATAATAGACTGCAGATATTCTTTCTTGTATATACAACATTATTTTCTATCTTGAATATGTAAATGAATAATTACTGGAATGATTATGTTCATCCACCCGGCTGAATATTTTCTGCCAGGTGTAATGTATGTGTGCGTACACTACCAGTCAAAATAACAGAACCAGTTCTCTCAATTAATGCAGGAAAATATTCTTTTATAAAGATCTAATCAAACTAATATGTACCAATATAATTATACTGCGATGAAATGATAGCTTTAATGTCGTAAATAGTTATAATGATATTATAATAACTTAAACAAAAATTTTTAACTTCTTAAAGGAGCAGGTTTTTTTAGAAGCCGCAGATAACACATTTTTTGATACTCCCGTATAATTCTACTTCTCTACACAACGATTTGTTTACACGTAATCGTAAAAAGTATGTTTCCAGCGGCGACCTTTGAAGAGGCTGTTTCTGAACCTCTTCAAACCGGCTTTCAGCAAAAACAAAAAAATACGTGTTCAATAGTTTTTAATGCTCTACAAGTTCATCTCAATTTGAACGAAAAAAAAAATGTTCGTTCTGGGAATGTTTCCTTGTTAGTTCACATGAACAGTTTATACGAAGACTCCGTAAGACTCATTAAAGCGTTGTGTAATAATGTTTAGCTCAAACTTCGTTTTATACCAAAAAGCGTTTGATTACCTCTTGCCAGACTTCTCAAAATTGCATAGAGCGTGATCACTTTCCACGCTTGATTTATTAAAACTACTCCTGTTTTTTATTACTTATATATTCAGTAGTTAATTTTAATGTGATTTGTAGAAAAAGCATAGTTTCAATATACATATGTGTCTGCAAATTTTGAATGAAGTCAAATGAAAATTGTTTCGTAAAAAGATCGTTCATTTCATTCTGCAGCCATTTTGTAGTTTCATCGAATCACTTCCACAGTCGAACGGTTGAAAAGAAATATGAATAGATTTGACATAGATAATAAATGTAAAAAAAATTAAATACAATAATAGTGTCACTAATTGAACCTGATAAGTGTATACAAAAGTAATGGCTGCGGTATTTAAGGTGGTATGGTGGTTTCATTTTATATTCTCGATAAAGAATTCAACTTTCGCTAGAAACACGACAAAAAGTTGGAGAAAAGAAATTGAATCATTTCGAATAATAGAAACCGTAATAATTGTTGAATATTAGCACTTCAACAACGTGGCACGCTAATCGGCGTCCTGTGTGAAATGACCATATCGCGATATGTGAACGTTGCATACGCTTTGGCTCTCGCAAAAAAGGACTTTTTTTAATCAGTGGATATAGAATTTGCGCTTCACAAAAAAAATGAAAAAGGAGAATATTAATTTGAAGGACACAACAATTTAAAGAAAACGATCAATCGTTTCCCTCATTTCCTGAAAATGTCACCAACAACAGATCGCTGTTTATAATAAAAGCGCCCCGTCGAAAAGTGTTAATGGAGATTTTCACCAGCGAAACGACGAACGTTTGCATACATCAAATATTTAGTCAATGTGTTTAACAGTTTAAATTTGTTCTACATTTTTCAGAGACGTATGCCGCCACCTATGTACAAACGAGAAACAAGATTCAAAGGTCAGAAAAGAGTATCTGTTGGACGACCTACGAGGAACACCGAAACTTTGGAGTACAGATCGAAGGAACGTCTAGTGCTGAAGGAAGACCCTGCAAGGGATGAAAGCTATGAGGATTCGTCAAATACAATTAAATGTGAACCCAATTTTAACAATGGATCTAGTGACCCCACTGTACCAGACATACAGATGAACGACGACTTACAGGAACGAGATGAGAGTCTGGTACGAAAAGATAATCGCAATTGAAATTGCTTTTTCATTTAAGTTCATTTACATTTTATTAGTCGTTTGTTAAAACCGCTTTTATGCCACTTGGATCATATTGAAACAGTTGAATTCTGAGAAAGGAAGACATTTTGATGTTGGAATGTGTCTAGATCGAACAGTTTCTACATTAATTATAATATTTGATTTAAATAGATATTAAACCTGTTTTTATTCCTTGTGATGAATACATTGATAGAATTATTGGATGTGTAGAATATATGTATACGAGTAATTTATGAGTTGAAATATATAAGGTAAAATTTTTGTCAAAATTTGATTATTGAACAAATTATTTTCAAGAGACTGTCTCATAGGCTGGAGCTGAATTTACTAAAAATTCTAATTTGATCGAAATATGCGTGGAATTGGATGCGATATGAATGGCATCAAGGGGCACATCTTATAAGGTATGTGCTTTTTTGTGGGTGGAGGCATTTCAGATTTCAAGGTCACCTTGATTTTGTTTAACGGAATGACCTATTTTTTGTATCATAAATCGATAGAATCTCAAATTCTAAGTAAAAATGTAGTGACCTTCATACGTCCTGAACCTAATAGTTAACGTGATATTTACAAAATAATCACTGTATTGAAATCGCTGTATTGAAGTTGGGGGCATCAGTTCGAGCACCTATAGTTGCCAGATAGTAAATACGTATTAAAAATTATTTTGTAAATAGCTCGTAAACTATTAGGTGTAGGACGTATGAAGGTCAACGCATTTTTACTCAGAATTTGATACTTTATCTAACTATGGTACATAAAATAGGTCATTCCGTTATAAAAAACAAGGTGACCTTGAAATTTTTGAAATGCCTTCGTCCACAAAAAAGCACGTACATTACAAGATATGCCTCTTGATGCCATTTAAGTTCCATGCCCCAAAATTTTCATGAAGTGTACTGTTACGTCATTATTCGAGGTGATCAAGTTAGCTGAGACACCTTGTATAATATTTCTTGTGTTCGAACCTATATTCATGAACAATGGTAAGATTAAAATTTACAATGCAACCAACTTATTAGTTTGTTATCGATGTAGGTTAAAAAAGTCACTGTAAAGCGAGACATTTTTGCATTCTAGAATTTTTACTTCGTTCTCAGGTGAATTAAAGTTTATCGATTGGTATCTGATATGATTATATTTACAAAAGATGGTAGTTGATGATAATTTTACAGAGGAATATAAATAACTATTTAATGCAAGTAATCACCTTGGAAATGTTTATAAATACGATAATTTCCATGTTAAATGTTTAAACATTTTTTTTAAAAGTGGACTCATATACTTAATAGATTTAATTTGCACGTTTTATTATTTTTGTTTGTTTTAAGAAGTATATTCGTTCTGATTCTCAGTCCTGTATATTTCCGCACACACTAAATAAGTTACGAAATTTCATTTTTTGATCACAATTTACGTATTTATTAATTCGTTCAACACAGTCTCGTGCTTCTAGACAATCTACACGCTTCCCATCGTTTAAACAGAATTTACGTGACATTTATGTCACTTCTGGTACGTACTCTCTGAGTCTGAAAGAATAAAAATTAAAAAACTAACGCCACAAACTAATAGACACTCTTGGAAGAATTATTTAGTTAGAACGTCAGTATTTACTCATCTTATGGTATATTCTCTTGATATCGTACCAATTTATTTTTAACTCTTTAATTGACTTACTCCTTGCTGAAAGGTAATTGAATACTCAAAATGTATGCATTCGCTATACATAACACATAAATTATCTTTTTTTTTGTTTAAATACAAGTTTCATTCACTACACATTGTTTAATATTTATTATCCATACTGTTCGTACATTTTTAATATCGAATCATCGTTCCAAAAGTTAAAAAAGAAATCTGTTTCCTGTACAAATGATTAACTTGTACTTTATTATATGCCTCAAACGTTGCTTCATCAATTTCATATTAAATTCTTCGCTCATTGACATACACCTATTTTTGTAAATTTGCAAGTAGTTGCGAATACAACACTTCTATTTCATTCCCAAGGATTCTTCAAAAAGTACCGACGAGAGTACGAGGTTAATGATTAAAAGGAAGAACGAGCTTTCGAAGAGGACAGGACTGAACGATGGAAAAGAAACCAGGCCGATATTGTCTAAATCCGATAGGGCTCAGTACAAACCTTTCTCGTGCGATCTTTGCACGCTGGCGTTCACAAGGGCTTCTCACTTAGCCAGACACAGAAGAGTACACACGGGGGAAAGGCCGTTCGCCTGTAGCATTTGTCCACGAATGTTCGCCAGACAGGATAAATTGAAGCAACACCTGGATTCGCATTTGCAATGGCCGAAGAGAAAAAATAACATGTCGCACACCAGTTGCCAGTCGACAACGCCTTCACCAGGCAAAGGAAAAAGGGGCAGACCAAGAAAGGTTAGATATTTCTCTATGCGCATACAGGATGCGGCAAATTTAAATAAACGATGTGTCTCCTGAATAATTAAGAAATTAATAGAAGCCAGTATTAAATACTAATATATACTTTTTATTGAAACTTTAGGAAAATTATTCGCTCGTTATTTAAATAAGATATCAGTTACATGGCCTCAAATAGCAACAAGGCAAAATTCAGCTCTTTTTGCCACGTTTTACTTCACTGACAAAGAATGTTCGCGAAGTGATACATACCGATTTTTCTGTAACATTACCCAGTTCTTTATGGAACCAACCTAAGAATTTTGCTGTAACGCACACAACACTCGAATTATTTTAATAATATCACTCAACAATTTCTACACACTCCTTTAATATCTAACTATCTCTATGATGATTTCCTAAGTTATTCTATGATTATGAAATGATGATTCCTAAGTTAGTCCTATCTGCACTGTTGGTTAAAAAATATATAATCGACCTAACAATATAAAATAGAAACGGGGGCTAATTCAAATCGCCTAGTTACTACTGGAGCTCCCTGTTTTAGGCCACGCGTTTCAGAGTACAGCGCGGTAAAAGAGGGAACAATGCTATTTTGGGGGAAGTCGTTTAAGGCTCCAGCATATTGTATTTCCTTAAAGAATTTCTAAATTTTTGGATTGATATTAAATATTTTTTTTAGTGTCGACTACGTCATGCAACTTTCTCTATCCGTGATATGTTAGATATGAAGGCAGTTGTTAGAGCTAGAGAATAGATCCACAAGATTTTTGTAAATTTCTTTTGTACTGTACCTCAAGAACGTCGAAATTTGAGTAAACTCTGGTTGAATAAATTATTGTTACTTGTTTGCAAATAATGAATTATTAAGTGTACCAATAAGTAGCCTACTATTTCTAATGAAATTCTATATCTGTTCCGCAATAACTCAAATTCCTATGCTGTCTTAACAATATTTAAAGTAGTCCTTAGCAGCCTCCATGATTTTCAATAAATAGCAGATCGGAGAGATATTCCGAAATTAAACCGTACCGTCAGCACCTATATTGAAATCATATTGAATTACTTATTGGTACACCTAATATTTTATTTCTTAAGTATCAATATATCCATGAATCCACTGGGATTTTACAGTACCACTATTCTACTTTCAACTTATTGTTAGTGTTTTCTGAGATAAATTGTAAACATGACAATTCTGTATGAAAGAATGGAACTAATTATAGTAAGGTTATTGCTATTACCCGGGTACCCGAGTATACATGAGATATCCGAATAATAAGACAGCCGAAAATCTCGATTCGGGAGTCAATCGTATTTCGACCATTTTCGATCGATACGGGCACTAAACCGGAATAAACTGAGAAAAACTGAAAATGATATTACAATAATAAAAATAATAATTATTTTAATATAATAATATATATTATTATATTATTATAATTATTCGATCGTAGCCGCGTATATGCATTACTTAGCACCATACATATATGTATACTAATAATACATGTTATTACATGATTATATTATAAGAATGAGTAAGTCATGTTTTTGCAGTGTAACACGAGTGCTAAGTAACGCAGTATGCCTACGCGGTTGCGATCGACTTCCGAATAGAAATTCTTGACGGTCTCATATATTCGAATATCTCATGGATACTCGGGTACCCGGATAATTTTTGTATACCCGAGTATCTTATAAAGTTACAGCTCTAAATTATAGTACACTCTATGTACATTATTTAATATTATGTATATTATTCAACCTTTCGATTAGTATTAATAATCCTCATCCGAATGCAACAAAATTAAAAGTCCTTTTAAGTTCTCTCAAGGATTAGAATTAAACTTTACGTCGCAGTTGTTTCTAACATAGGTAAAATGACCTAAACAAGGATATGAAATTTTCCAAAGACAGTTCTACGAACCCAGATTCAAGCAAATGGGTGCAAATAAATAACGTTTAAATTATTTGTGACAGGTAAATTTGGAACAATCGGCCATGGAGGAGATTTTGAAGTTTGGCGAATTTAGTTCTCTGCTGAACAAATCTCATTCGGCGAATTCGACAGTGAAAAGCGAAGATTCCGCGTCCAACGATAACGAAAGGAAAGTCGACGATCAGAAAGACGAGATCGCGGAGCAAAGGGACGAAGAGAAGGAAAAGGACACGGACGTGGACACGGACATGGACGTGCACAAAGCCAAGGACAATTACAGTTGTCAAGTGGAAACGGGTCAAGACGACACCGTTTAATAAGCCTCCTTCGATCCTCCATTATATTCTTGCAAGGAATATTTTTGCACGAGTAAGAGGATCCACCTAACCCATTCTTACTTTTAGAGTGTTGTGAAAGTATCGAACTTCCTTCGATTGATGTCGCTATCCAGGTACTTTTTTGCAATTTCTTTTTTCTTTCGCATGCGAAAAAGTAAATTATTATACAATTGTTCGATTGAATTTGTATTTCTTGAAGTTTAGAATCGACTATTCTCTTCAGCCTTTTGAATATTTCCTAGCCATTTCTGATTGGATTGTCATACTTTCCGTTCTATCTTAAATGTTTTGATTCCTTAAAACGCAAAATTTATACGTTCCGAAAAAGCATAAAGAACTATCAACTGTTTTGTATATTTATAAAAAGGATTATCTGTAGACCTATGCTAGAAATATTTTTGCTATCGATAATGCTATTTAAAAACGTACTGTTTCGAAATTAAGTATTTAATATCACGAACAGGAAAACATAGAACTCTTTATGGTGGGGCGTAGGCCATGGTATTACGTAAGAAGACTTGATTTCCTGTTGGGAATTGAATCAGTGGTGAAATAAATTCTAAGAGGAAAATAGTTTCTTCATACGAGACTTTGTTATAGTATTTTTTTTTATTGTTGAATGTACGCAATGCTTTGTTGTATTATACAATTACCTACAGATAACTGTTGAAAACATATTTGTTTCAATTTTCTCAAAAACAAAAAAGAAAGATACATTGTACGTTTTATAATTCATTTATTTCATCTATCAGTCTGTTAAAAATTGTGTGTCTAATATTCATTTCGAATTCAAGTAATCAAGAAATGAAACAATTGGGGTAAGAAGTGAAAGTGGTGTTATCAATATTTGGAAGAAGAGTGTGTTAAAAATATTTAAATTTATTCCTTTGAAAACATAGCCTCGTATAGGAAGTTTCTGTTCTGCATTTCTTCTACTGTTCTACATATAAATCACAGTATTTCCACCTAAGCCACGATTTACGTCTTATTTGATACAATGGTAACGTCTCTTTTATGGAATCATGAAAAACGTTGTTTTATTAGTACGCGTATCTTCGACGTTACACAAGTCACGTAAGAGTTACTATATTCGATACCGAGTACTCTTAACGAATCCAAATCTAGAAATATTTCTTTGGATCACCAGTTCGATGTTTGCAAAGAATCCCGTTTGTATACAATTATTGTATAGCGTCGTCCACGATGTTCAAGGGGTTTGAAACAGAAGTGAACTTTACAAATGAACGAAACAGAAGACAAAGTTACACATTTTTGTACAGTTTGGTACATCGATCATGAACTTTTGTAATAATCCCGATAATTAAATTGTATTGTAATAATTTAGTCGTATACAACCGCATATAAAGAGTAAGGTTGTTCTGCTACAAAATTATGACAGCACAGGTATTGTAATTTAACGATGAGACTCGAATGTCTCAGGACATCTGATGTTAAGGAGCAAAATTCAAGAGGTCTCAAAACATTTTGCAGAGCTTTAAAAATATGGAACATTCTAGTCATCGCTAAACATTTTGTCACAATTACAGTAGTATACAGTTGGTTTCAATTTTTGCCTGAATTTTTTCTGTGAAATGTCATAGTAATCAGTAATTCCATAATTGTGAAAATTATAAATGTTCTTATACATTGAGGGTATGGAAAAGTAATAACCGCTGCATTTAAGTTAATGTTATGATTTTATTTTATTTCATCGATAAATCATTCAACCATTGCCATGGCAATGGTTGAAAGTTTGAAAGCTATAGAAAATGAGGAAAACTATTTACTGTAGTCATTGTTCAATATTAGTAATGATTTTTGACAGAGAAACGGCCATCACTTTTTCATACATTTAAAAATACAGTAAATCTTCGGTTAATGTGCGAAACTCGGGATTGCTTTGGAACAGTTATCGTAGAGGGGCACTATTTCCACGCCTCATAAATTGCAGGCTGAGTGTCGGTAACTTGCCTTTGTATTTTGCCGCCAGCCGACAAACATTAGAAGCAGTAGTGGGTTTGAAGTAGACGCATTGAACGTTGAAATCTTTCGGAACATTTATCGAGAATTTACTGTACTTGTTAGAATTTTCACGTTTCCTTCAGTCTGATAAGTATATTAGGTAGTTGCACATGAAATGATCGGTTTATTACCAGCACTTGATATAATATTGAACATTGTATGAATTTTATTACACAAAGTAAGATTAAACGGACTCTATACGCGTTACATTCTTGTTATATTCATTAGACAATTATTATACTGAATTTGAAGATGACCCTTAAAAAAACAGTTTTAGCTGTCATCTTTCAACGGAATCGTGCTATTGCTAAATAGTTCTTTTTAGCAGAAAATTACACATCTTTATAAAGTTTATTTATGAATTTGATTTAAATGTCCATATTGTAATGTACGTGGGGGGAAATGATTGTATTTGACTAAGATTGATTCTCTTCCTTAATTAACATAATTAATTTTATTGTTATGTTACATAGTACCTTGGGATGAGTAAAGTATATTGTGTAATTTTGCAATAAAGTAAGGAGATATGTGAATAATTTTCATTCATAAAAATAACGTCAAACTTACCTGTTAGTACAATCGCTCATTTCATGTACAACGATTTAGTTAATCTAATAGTATACTTTTTTGGTAAAAATTGCAATACTGAGAAAATTGAAACTAACTACAATAAAATTCTTTCTTTCATTCAGTATTATGAAATCAATTATCATTAAACGACCTCTCTAGCAAAATTTAATTTCTCTTACTGCATTGCTCAATTCAGTTTGATTTTCCTTAGTGTCCTAATTATTGTGCACAACAGTATATTAGAACGACTAACATTTCTATATTTTAACATGTTGGTCACTAATTTTCCGTTCTTTAACATTTAGAAAAATTAACAAACACGAGTCTTGATGACCGTGTTTCTCGTTTCAATTATCTCTCGCTTTCGATTCGAGCCCCTCGTCTCGCATTACGTGTCCCTTCGATCTCATCGGAACAATACGGTATAACCATGTAACAGAATTAATCGAATAATTTTATAACCGCTCCTGTATTTATTTATTTATTGGGATATAAGACATCCGTGTCGTTCGACTCAACCGCGAATTCGTTCGAAAGAGTACCTGAAGCACCCGCGTCATTGCGCGCAATTAAGATGAATGCGGAGGGTGCGGGCAGGCCATATACATATAGGAAAATAAAAGGAGTCCATAGACGACTGTTAGGTACTGATAAATTCGATGCCACGGCGAACCGCCGTCGCACGGAAAGTATTTGTATCGGATGATAAGATTAGGGGGGGGGGGAGTAGAACTTTGCGTTGGAAACTCGACCAAATTACTTTAGCTTGAAGACTGCGGTATGGTTTGCATTGTAAAAAACTCTTCGACTGACCAAAGCTTAAATTATAGAATTTCGTCCACGTGGATCTACGCGAGGATTAAGTATAAGATAGAATATTAATGTAAAGTTATTTTTTCTGTTTTTTTTGTTGATGATTGTGTTTGTTGGTTCAACCAATATTGTTTTAGCCGGCAGATTGTCTGATTCGATCGTTTATGGAGATTTCATTGAATGATATTACAACACTGCGTGAGAGTTACTTCTGTCACCGAACTGATGGAGGTTTTTGTGTCTCTAACAAGTGGGTTTAAAGCGTAGGCCTAAGAGATATTCGACTTACATGCCTAAATAACATTAAATGTTCAAATATTGTGTCGAACAGATAACATGGCTACGTTTCTCTTCTGACTTTCTTCGGTTATTGCTGGCAAAGAGTATTCGATCGATCGAACTAAATAATCGCAGTAAAAATTATTCACGCGTGGAGCATAAAACGTGGTCTCACTGATACTGAAAGAAACGGGATGAAAAAGTTATCTGTATTCGTGTTAGTTTTGTCTATTTCGAAATATTGAGTTGTTCAGAAAGTTCGTAGCGTTCCTAAGGATCCAGTTACAATCTATATTTTCCAATTTATATCATATTCTTATTTACTACTTTATTTTACAATTTCTTTCCAATTTCACAACTTGGATTGTTTTAGCTATAAAAAAGTCAGTTCAACCTTCTAGATGGATTTTGATTTTGAAGTTTTTTCTTGATACAGAATATTTTAGGACTGTAAAGAAATAATGTTTTAATTAATTGGGTAGATGGTATAAAATTTTGCATCCGAAGTAACGTAATTTTTTTACGAGTCTAATAGAACGTAATGAAAATGTACTTTGTGCTTGTTCATGCGTCCATCGACATTTGACTTTGATTGATTGATTTCTGACAAAAAATAAAAAAGCGAGTAATTTTTACAGCAAACACATTCAATCCATGCTTGGAAAATAGTACCTGTTAATCAGATCAAACGATTTTCCCTTCATCCAGTAAAAAGATAACGAAGATACTGCTCGAAACGCTACGAACTTTACGAACAACCCAATACAAAATGAAAAGATGGAACACTGATTGAAGAATGTGTTCAGTTATCTTTAATTACACTTGTTATCATTCTTGCTTGTTTGAAAAGATCATACAGTGGGTAATCTAATTATTAGAATCATTTGCATAAATCGACGATTTTACAATTTTAACTATATTTTTTATAATTACATAAGCTAAGTTTATTTGCTATGTGTATTTTTCGTAAACAATTGTTTTTTAAAAATTATCTAGTGTAAAGGTATTTTAATATTATTTTGACAGAAACAGAAAGAAACTTATTTTTTCTGCCTACTTATTCGATCTCTGTATATTGCATTCGTCTAGCACGTTAATACAATATATAATGTCTAGAAATTTTTTTATGAAAAATAACCAACTCATCAGTTTTTTTTGACGATAGCAATAAGTTCGCCAGCAGTAACGATGCATTAATTGTTTTGATCAGCGTATCTTCTTAATATTTTCCGAATATAATCAACTCCTCTATTTTATTTCTTTTACGCATACTACACAGTAGTATTCCGTACCTTTAATTTGTACGTAGGGTGGATGCACCAGTAAGTGAACACGAACCAGTAAATGAACATTATACATAA